GTGGATTGCCTGAGCCTGCGGGTTCAAGACCCGCCTGGGCAGTGAGACCTCATCTCTACAATAATTAAAAAAATTAGCCGGGCATAGTAGCGCGCTCCTGTAGTTTCGGCTACTTGGAAGGCTGAGGTGGAAGGATAGCCGGAGCTCAGCAGGTCGAGGCTGCGGTGGCCGGGAGCAGTCACTGCACTCCAGTCTGGGTGACACAGTGAGACTCCGACTCAAAAAAAAAAAAGAATGCATGGGTTAAAATTTAAGACTGCTTACCCTAAACATGAAAGCAAAAATCAAAATTAATCCTGAGTTACATTTTACTTGTGTATGCCTCAGTTGTTTTTTCTGTTGACTGAGGCCCTCACAATAGAAGAAGGAAAAATTTCCACTACCATGATCATAGGTAAATCACGGGAGTAAATCATCTTCTGTCCCTAGGCAATATTTTCTACAAGGAGCAAGGAAAAAATTAGAAAAGGGTCTCTTCTTACCTGCTTCTTATAAGAGCAGGATATGTCTTCACCAAGAAGTCAGAGATATTCCTGCCAGTGAGGTCTTGTAGAATTTCAGAGCTGCGCTGCATTCTCTGTAGCAACGAGATGCCCCGTTAATTGCTTTGGAATTGGAGGCCTTACAGTTTGTGAAACTGCTTGTTGTTCTCCAAAAGTTATTTACGGATTCAGCTGCTGGGAAAATACTACATGAAGCACCGGCCTCCCTTGGCTCCCACGCCAATCATCTGTGGTCCCTCTTTTCCCAATCCATTGACAAGGCAGGATGGCTTAACTCCAAAATAAATTCTGATCCATCTGTGTTTCCCAACTCTGGTCCTGTCCCCTGCCAGAGCCCACATCTAGGCCCACCTCTACAGAATCTTCCAAACTGGCCTCCCCATGTCCCCCTCAGTCTTCCGCATTTCGTTCTCCACCCCAGCCAATCTGAGTACTAAAAATGTGAGCCAGAACACCTAGGTCACTTTGCCTTCTTTCTACACTCCAGGAGGATCTGGGACCACCCCAGCCCCTGCTAGGACTGCTGTGGCCCATGAAATCTGCCTGCTCCTGCTCTGACTCACCTGCTGTCTGCTCCCCTCATGCTCACCCCTCCTCCCAGTTTCTCAGCTGACATCTCTCCTCTCTGATGTGGCTTTGCACCGGGCGGTTCACATTGCCTGGAAACACTACTCAGACCCTCTCATGCTGGTCCTCAGTCCAAATGACACTCCTCAGAGAGTATTTTCTAATTCCTGTCACTCTGCATCATCACATGCTGTTGTGTCACTTTCACAGCACTCATATCCATTGAGATTTTCCTTTTGAGAGAGTGTTTTTACCTGGTATCCCCTGGAGGATATGACTTTGGTGAAAGCAGGCACTTTGCCGACATGTGGGCCGTTGTCCCCAGCACCCAGAACAGTGCCTGGCATACAGCTGACACAATAAATTTGTGACACTAATGAAACAATTTGAATAATGCCTTATCATTTACAAATTGCTATCAATATACATCTAGGACTGGAAACCAGTTCATCAAAAAATTTTGGAGAATTAAAAAATGTGTGAGTTTGAGCACCAGGTGGCGATATGGTCTGGGGAATGCGGTGTTAGTTTCTCATTCTTGTCAACCTACTTCGTGAACCCTGGGCAAACGCATTCACTCTGTCCAGGGCACCTCCCAGAGGTAGCTGAGGATATCTGGGCGGCATCACACCCCTCTATGTGTTCTTTCCCACGTGACTTGCCCTGTTCAACTCACTCTTCTCCGTGTTCCCCTCCTGTTGGGAGAGTGCTCACTGTGTGCCAGGCACTATGTTAAACGCCCGACACAGATGATCTCACATGATCCTAGTACCCTTTGGAAGAATTCTCACTTTGATGTAGAGAGAAACTGAGGTTCAGAAAGGCTAGGGGACTTGCACAGCACTGGAACCTGCAGGTGTGTGGCCTGGAGACTTGACCTGCATCTGTCTGATGCTGTAGGGCTTGCTCTTTTCACTCTGTCAAGCTGAAAATGGCACCCAGATTACAGCCACGCTCCTCGAGTGGAATGCACCTGGAACAACTACTGATGCCTGGGACAGCTCATGGGGAATTGTTTTCTAAAAATAAAAAACGGACACTCCTACAATCCACCTCCATGTATACGAGAAGTTAGGATGAGAGCTTATTCCTCAGAACCCACCACATCCAAGAACGTTAGAGCAGGAAGGGTCCCTTAGAGATGGCCAAGTCACAGCCCCAATTTCCAGAGTAGAACCACTGACCAGCCAGGCTCGGTGGCTCAGCCTGTAATCCCGCGCTTCGGGAGGCTGAGGTGAGTGGATTGCCTGAGTCCGCGGGTTCGAGACCCGCCTGGGCAACTTGGCATCTCATCTCTACAATAAATCAAAAAATCAGCTGGGCGTGTTAGCACGCGCCTGTAGTTCCAGCTACTTGGAAGGCTGAGGTGGAAGGATCGCCGAAGCCCAGCAGGTCGAGGTGGCCGGGAGCGGCCACTGCACTCCAGTCTGGGCGACAGAGTGAGACTCCAACTCAAAAAAAAAAAAGAACCACTGACCACCTCTGAATCAGCCTATACTCTGGACTTACTCCAGGCTGAATGAGGGAGTGTGTCTGAGTGAGTGGATATGAATGTGTGTGTGTGTGGTGGGGAGGATTGAGAGCGTGCAGCTCCTGTGCGGGTGTGTGACGGTCAATGTGGCTCCAGAGAAAGGCATGAATGACAGTAAGAAAATGCAGGAGGGAAAGAAAATGCAGGAGGGAAAGAAAATGACAGGATCCAGTTTGCCTTCTTCCAGGACTTCGGCTATCAACATCTTCCCCAGGCCCCAAGGACTGACCCTACTGAAGATGCGTTTCTCAGTTGGACAGGAGGCGATGAATGAAGGACTATTTAGCACTCCCTACCCCACTCCTTCTCCTGGCTGAGAACTTAATGTGGATGTCTGGCCTCAGTACTTGACTGCAAACCAACCAGCAAAGCTTTCTCTTGGGGTATGGAGGGTGGAGGCAAGCTCCCGGAGTCCTTCTGGGATCCCTATGATGCTGCAGTGGCTCGGTTGTGATTCAAAGACAGAATAGTATATTACTTGAGAAACACAAATATATGTCATTGGACTATAAAAGAAGAAAAAGATTGGGTGTTCATTCACATGGAATCATTTACAATACAGGAATTGTGACAATGGGCAAAATCTAACGGTGCCCTGTTATCTGCCCTTGCCTGCTGCCAGAGCAATGTCGCCTTTCTTATTAGGTAGAAGGCCACCCCAAATAAAGAGCATAGCTCCCAGCCTCCTGTGATGCCAGGCTCTGGCCAGGGATGCATACGTGGGAGCTTCAGAAGATCTCCCTCAACAGAGCGCACGCGCATGCTTTGCTCTCTCTTCTGCCTCTCCCTTCTCCCATTCCGCTGCCTGGAAAGTAGATTCTGGCGTCTTGGCCAATGAGGTGGAGGCGTATTTAGCACCGAGGAGCAACAGAGCAGAGCATCAAGCACCACCCACGTAGACTTAGAGGAGAGAGGCAAGCTGTGTCTTGTTTTATCCACTGTTAGTTTAGGGTTGTCATCACTTGAGTTGAATCTAATTTTAAATAATTCCTTGCCCACACTATTTCATTAAATCCTCATAACAATGCTATGATATAAATGCAGCTATTCCCAATTTTCAAGTGAGGAAATGAAGGTTTAGAGAGGTCAGGTAGCCCACCCAGGCCTTTCCACCTCCCACATCTATGCTCTCTGAGAACTGTTCATTCATTGACAAATCATGGGAGAGGACCCTCTAAGGCCCAGCTCTGTGCAGGTCAGCTGGGAGGCTCGTTACCAACCAGAGGCAAAGAGAGACTTCTCTGGCCTCTTTACTGTCTCGAAAAACCCCAGGAGAGGCTAACTGGGATCCGTTGTGCACCAATGCGTTAGATGCACAGCACACAGCAAGCTTCTTGAATAAGACTCTTCATAAGTATGTAAATAAGCTCACATTTGAATGTACATCACAGCATTGTTTATAGTGGAGAAAAATCCAACATCCAAATATCCAAGCCATGGGAGATCAGTTAAGTAATTTAAAGTCAATTCAGGTCGGGCTCGGTGGCTCAGCCTGTAATCTCAGCACTCTGGGAGGCCGAGGTGAGTGGATTGCCTGTGTCTGCGGGTTCGCAACCAGCCCAGGCAACTTGGCGAGACCTGTCTCTACAATAAATCAAAAATTAGCCGGGCGTGGTAGTGCGTGCCTGTAGTTCCAGTTACTTGGAAGGCTGAGGCAGAAGGATTGCCGGAGCCCAGCAGGTCGACGCTGGGGTGACCATGAGCGTGCCACTGCACTCCATCCGGGGCGACAGAGTGAGACTCCAACTCAAAAAAAAAAAATAAATAAATAAAGTCAATTCAAACAGTGGAACAGTATGCAGGGAGTAAAAATAATGTAGCTGTGCATTTATTGATGTGGATGTGTGCTCATGCTATGCTACTCAGTGAAAAGAGCAGGTTTCTAGATAGCATTTTGCATATAATCCTGTTTGGGTGGATGAAAACCAAACGCAATTGGCGGTTACCTCCACGTGATCATTTTTTTCTTCTGACTTACCTGTGTTTTCTAATTTGTCTATTTTAAACATGCATGACTTGTATAATTTTTAGAAATATTTCAACACATTTTTTTTGAGACAAGAGTCTCACTCTGTGGCCCAGGCTGGAGTGTGGTAGTATAATCATAGCTCACTTCAGCCTCAATTTCTTAGCCTCTGGCAATCCTTTCCCTCAATATCTTGAGTAGCTGGAACCACAACTATCACATCTGGCTAGTGTTTTATTTTTGGTAGGGTCAGGGTCTCACTATGTTGCCCAGACTGGTTTTGAACTCCTGGCCTCAACGATCCTCCCACCTCGACCTTCCAAATAACTGGGATTACAGGTGCGAGCCACAATGCCTGGCCTAAATACATTTTTTTTTTTTACTAGATTAAACAGGAAGTGTTTGGTGGAAAATGAAACTTTTGGTCGGTGACCTCTTCCAAGTGGCACCCATAGGGCCCTGTGGGAAGCCCCGCTGAGAAGATCCAGTGAGCCTAGTTAGTCCCTCACCCAATGCCAGGCTAAAATGTGAGTCGACAAGAGACCCAGGAGGGTTCCTGCTGGGTGGGCAGGTCCAGGGACCCCGGCTTCCCAAGGGGTTGGGTACCTGAGGAGGTGGGAGCCCCCCGGCGCCCTCGGGGCACTCGGGCAGCATGGTGAGCTTCTCTCTGGTGCTGCACATGCAGGACGGCGAAGGGTTGTCTGGGGTCCACTTTTGCTTCTGGAATAGGTGGGTGACGTTGGGAGACACAGAAGGCGTCTTCCAGGGGGTTGAATTGCCACAAGGATATGCCCTTGTGGAAGACAAGAAAATATTCCACAGTCAGTCTCGAGGCTGATGCAGAGTCGTGTCCGCCCTCTTTTTCCTCCATTCCTGCTCCTCTGACTCCTGCACTTTCTGTGTACATGCTCAAGGTCAGTTTCTGCTCATGAAATACCAGGACTAGGATTCTGTGGACTGACGGGCCGTGGGGCAGGGAGAGGACTGCCTAGCTTGTGGACTGTTTCTTCCTCTAGCAGCTCTAACTGTTGAGAGAGAACTAATTGGAAACTGGTTTATTTGGGCCCTTACTGATAGCTTTGAAAAGTACCGAAGGCTGGGCTCGGTGGCTCAGCCTGTAATCCCAGTACTTTGAGAGGCTGAGGCGAGTGGATTGCCTGAGCCCGAGGGTTTGAGACCAGCCCGGGCAACTTGGCGAGACCTCGTCTCTACAATAAAATAAAAAATAGCCAGGCATCTGTAGTTCCGGCTACTTGGAAGGCTGAGGCAGAAGGATTGCCAGAGCCCAGTAGGTCGATGCTGGGTGGCCGTGAGCGTGCGTGCCACTGCACTCCACCCTGGGCGATGGAGTGGGACTCCAATTAAAAAAAAAACAAAAAACAAAGAAAAGTACTGAAAAGAGAAGTTAAAGTGATACTGAACTTTCAGAACTCCTAGTGGATTTCAACTGCCCTCTAGCCTAAGGATTCCTCCCAGGCTGGTAAGGGTCCCAGGTAAGTAGGAGGGCTGGGGCCCTTCCAAGCAGTGTGCGACACCAGGGCCACGCCACCGAGCCCACAACTGCCTTCTCTAAACTTGTAATGATAATTGAGACAGCGTACATGGAATTAACAGTATTTATATAACAGCATATCCCCAGCTCCCTCCCTCTTGCTCAAGCAAGCTTTGGGGAATCATCTGTGAACTCAGCATACAGCTTCTCTGTGGAGACAGCTGGGGCTGTCCAGTGACATCCTGGGAGGTGGTGATCGCCCCTGCACACAGGGGGGAAGGGAAGGCGGCGGGCGCTGGGCAGAAGCGGGGTGTGACCCATGTAACGCAGAGAGGACTGAGGTAGCCTCCGCCACCCCACCAGCCTGGACCCCACCATCTGGGGCTCCCGGGAGCTGACAGTGCTAGGCAGGGGTGTGCGGGGACTTACGGAAGCCACTCGTCCTTCAAGCAGCGGTTGCCGAAGCCTGGCTTGTTCAGGAGGACGTCTGCAAGCACCGCGAGCCGCTCACTGCCCAGGTCATCCATGCTAGACAGAGCGAGACACACGACTGGGACCAAGCAGACAGAAGCAGCCAATATGCAATTCTCAGCCTGTATTGGAGACCCTGAATGCCGCCTTGGCATGGTTCGGGTCTCCTGGGAGCAGGGTAGGCTGCCCAAACACGCCCAGTGGCCTCATGGCATGTTGTCCACACCCCAGAAGGATGATGCTTCAACCCCTCATCCCGGCTCTGCATTCTCCACTTGGGCTTACCTTTCAGACAGTGGCAGGTACATCAACACCCTTTCTGAGAGCAACCCGAGATCTCCTCCCAGGCTGGTAAGGGTCCCAGGGAAATAGGAGGACCAGGGCCCTCCCAAGCAGTGAGCCACACTGGAGCCCACACCATGGAGGAGGATGGTGACCAGGGAGTCTGCGCACCTGAAGAAGGTGTACTGCTGCCCGTACATCCAGGGGTGAAGGGTCAAGGCGGGGTATTCGCCAAAAGGAGGCACGATGATGGACAGCATCAGAGCCAAGAACACAAAAGTGGCTGGGAGCACAATCTGTAGGGAACAGACATGGAAACAGGGGCGGTGGTGTGTGATGTTCCACCCACACCATGCATATGCACACGCACACGTTCATCTTCCAAATGTTTATCCAGCAGCCTCCTAATCAGGCCCTGATGGGAAAGGTCAGGCTTCCAGGGGAACACAGAAGGCAGGGCGTGTAAAGGCAAGATGTGCAGAAGGAAACAGAATGTTCTGGTAGACACTGAAGAATCTGCATGTGGGCTAGTGTTCAGCCCGATGTTGAGGGACAATTCAAAGAGCAAGACACGCAATTCACTGCCCTTTGAACAAGTTTCTTTTCTTAAGGAAAAAAAAAACCCAAAACATTAAAAGCAAAAAGAGGACAGTGACCTTATAGGTAGGGTCATTGCAAAAACAAAAAAACAAATGAAAACGTGTCTTTACCCTTCACTGTAAAAATAAAGTAAGGGCCAGGTGCAGTGGCTCACAGCTATAATCCCAGCACTTTAGGAGGCTGAGGTGAAAGAATTGCCTGACCCCATGGGTTCAAGACCAGCCTGGGCAACTTGGTGAGACCTCATCTCTACAATAAATCAAACAATTAGCTGGGTGTGGTGGCAGGTGCCTGTAGTTCCAGCTACTTGGCAGGCTGAGATGGAAAGACCACCTGAGCCCAGCCAGTCAAGAGTGTGTCACTGCACTCTAGCTAGCCTGGGCGACAGAGTGAGACTCTGCCTATAAATAAATAAAACAAATAAATAAATAAAGTAATAGTAACATTTTCACTATTAGTCTATTTTCTTTTCCAAGTGAGATCCAACTTACAAGGAAAGTTTGTGCTAACAAGAATCAAAATAAGGAGGAAAGGAGGAAGCAAAGCCGGCAAAATCTCAAGAGGGCGACCCACTATGCTAGAACCCTGTGGGCAGCGGGAGAGAAGGGCAAAGCCAGCAGAGGGCAGGCCCTGGGAGAGGCACCAAGCCCACCCAGCACGACCACATACCTGGGCCAGGAAGTCCCTGTGGCTGCGGATGGCGTGGTGGAACCGCTTGACCAGCAGTGCTTGAACATGCTGGAAGACCAGCCGCACCCCCATGTTGAGCCGCAGGCCTGGGACCTCAGGCTCTGGGGCAGGCTGGCCCTCAGGGGGAGCAGCCGGCGCCCCTGGGGCACACACGTTGGTGTCCTGGGGAGTCTGTCCGGCCTTCTCTCGGGGACCCAGGCAGGGGTGTCGGAGGCTAACGTTTTCCCCTTTCTGCTGAGCGCCACCTGGTTTGGCAAATTGAATTAATAATTTGGAAGAGCACCCACAAGATCTAAAACTCCAATGCCATTTTTTTTTTACAGCCTTGGTTTTTTTCTTCATTTAAATCAGCAACAAAATACCAAGTTAGGTAGGTTAATAACTTTTATAAAAATCCATTTTCTGGTGGAGATTGTCTATAGATAGAATCACCTGAGACCACTTAAAAATTCCCATTAGCAGCCAGGCTCGGTGGCTCAGCCTGTAATTCTGCGCTTTGGGAGGCTGAGATGAGTGGATTGCCTGAGCTCGTGGGTTCGAGACTCGCCTGGGCAACTTGGCAAGACCTCATTTCTATAGTAAAATAAAAATATCAGCCGGGCATGGTAGCGCATGCCTGTAATTCCGGCTACTCGGAAGGCTGAGGTGGAAGGATTGCCGGAGCCCAGAAGGTTGAGGCTGCGGTGGCCGGGAGTGGCCACTGCACTCCAGTCTGGGTGACAGAGTGAGACTCCAACTCAAAAAAAAAAAAATCCTATTATCATTAAAAAGAACAAAATAGCTCTAAAAGCATTGGCATAGAGAGGCTGAAACATGCAACTCAGTAAAAAAAGTCAAGTGCAAATCTGTATGTGTTATATGATTACGGTTATGTTAGAAAGTTCATGCAGCATACACAAAGAGAAACAACATCATATGCACATACACATGCAATTGCAGCACTCTGGAGGATACCCAGGGATGTCTACAGAGATGACCCTGGGAGCAGAGCTGGTCAGGGCAGGAGGATGGAGGGGGACGGAGACCTGCAGCTTTTGCGTATTTTGTGAACTTATAAAAAAGCCATATTCGTTTATTACCTGTTTACTTAAAAATCAGAGTCAACTTGGTTTTTTCTGACACTGAGAATGGTAGGAAGGCTAATGAACGAAGGGGCTTGAATTCTGAGTTTTACAAGATGCGTGAATTTGGGGAAGTGACTCAACCTGCATGAACCTGAGTTTTCTCAGCTGTGAAGTGAAAATGAGGACGTTTCATAGGACTGTTCTGAAGACTAAATAAGTTAACTCATGTGAACGTGCCACATAAACCACTGCAAGTCACCAGCCATGTTGAAGCTATCCTTTACCATCAGGGTCAAGGCTTGTGCAGAGTGTTTGTTGTTGGACATGGAGGAGAGCCTAGAGGACAGTTAGCTGGTCCCAGCTGCTTCCTTAACCCTCCTCCAGCCCTCCAGGGCAAGGACTGTTGCCAAGAAAGTTGGGTCAGCTCAATCACCCTGTCAGCTAACACTCACCCATGGTGGGCCAGGTCTGGGATGCAGAGACCTGGTGACAGGGAGCCCCGGCCCCAGCTCAAGTTCCAAGCTCCGTCCTGCAGCCTTCCTTTCCTGATCTGGGCCCAGAGCTGCCATCTGCCGTGGCTGGCCATCCCCTTGGCAAAACCTGCTGCTTCTCCTTAGCTCCTCTTAGCTGGCTGACCTCATCCCAAACTTCCGACTAAGGTCTGCTGAGTGCCGCAGGCCTACTCAGCGTCACCAGTTGGTCCTTGGCTTTCTGCTACTTTCTAGTAGCTACGGCTGTGAGCCATCCCTTCAGAAGTGGCATTGAGCCTCCTGGTGCCATGCAACACGTGGCTTCCATGGGCAGCTACAGGTTCCTTCAAACTCTGGAGACAACATTAGAAAGTGTCCTCCTCTAAGGCCAGGTGCAGTGGCTCATGCCTATAATCCCAGCACTTTGGGAGGCCACGGTGAGAGAATTGCCTGAGCCCTTGGAGTTGAAACCAGCCTGGGCAACTTGGTGAGACCTCATCTCTACACTAAATCAAAAAATTATCCAGGCATGGTGGTGCACGCCTGTAGTCCCAGCTACTTGGAAGGCCAAGGCACAAGGATCGCCTGAGCCCAGCAGGTCAAGGCTGCAGTAGCCGGGAGCATGCCACTACCCTCCAGCCTGGGTGACAGAGTGAGACTCCAACTCAAAAACAAAACAAAAACAAAGAAAGTGTCATCCTCTAACACTGAACTAATTCAACAGAAATGTACTTAGCCATCTGAAGATGGGAGGTGGTGAGTGTGGGATCCCAGTCCTAGGTGTGAGAGTAAAGACCGGAGCGGGACAACCCGCATCTGTGTGACTTTAAGCAAGTCGTCCCACCCCTGTCAGCCCAGTTCCCCCAGATGGGGCAGATCCCTGACTCATGAGATTGTAGTGACAGTCACATATGACAATGGATACTAATACTTGGTGAACTACAGGACTACACAAACTTGAGGTAGCGGACAGTCTGTGAATGTGGAGAGAGAGTGTGGCTAAGTCTCAGCAGAGGTCACATACTGTGCCATGACTCGGCATTCTTTAACTTGCTCAATTCTCTCCAACACCTCTAAAGGCAGATGTCATTATTATCCCTGTCTTGCAAATGGGGAAACTGAGGTCCAAAGAGGCTAAGCACATCCCTAAGCCACTCCATGTGCAAATTCTGACATTCAGGTGTGACGTCTGGCCTGCCTCACGGCGGGGGCTACACTCTTGCCTTGACTGCGCCTTCGGGACATGCGGTTCTGTACCCATGCTGATCAGTCTTCTGATGGGTAGTATTCCCCTGAGAGGAGCTAACTATTAGGAAGGAGTATTCTCTGCAGATAAAGGCCCCAACTCTTGAATCCTGTATAGCTTCTATATAAACTAGCATAGTTTTTTCTGGTCTTGATTAATAGGTCTTTGGCTTGGGGTAAGCTGCGAGAATTCCATTTCTGTATCAGCAAAGCTCGAAAGAAAACTCGGGCCCTGTAGTGAGCTGCTCCTGCCCCCAGAGGACTGCTCTCCCACCCCACACCCACTCTGCCACGATGACCACCTCTTTTGGCCACCATGTGACCTGCCTGGATGGACTGCGCTCAGGTGGGCTGGTGTATTTGCCCACTGGTAGTGCTACGCAAAGCTGAGAAACATTTGGGATCACGTGAAAAGCAAGATGAGGACCAGTTTATCTTAAGAGCCGATGCCAGAGTCCCTACGAGGAGGAAACACTCTGCAGAGGAAGACACCATGAGAGGCCACCCGGGGCAGAAGGTCACCAGGGCTTAAGTGGTGTCGGGAGCCCACATGGCAGAGGAGATGGCTGCACAGCTCTGCTTGTGACAGGAGAGGGCTTCACGAGTGGAAGATGCCTCCTGTCCCGTCAGAAAGAGCCTGAGTCGTGGCAGCATTTGAAGTACCTCCAGCCCTCCAGTGTCTGCTCCACTCACGGATGCCTTGTGTGCTGTGGATTTTGGTAAAAACCATGGAAGGAGCTGGCTGGTGCTCAGGCTGACATGTGTGGAAGAGAGACTCCCAGCATCCATGGGAATGAGGGTCCCCACAGGCCACTAAATGAGGACTCAGAATGATTTCATCTTGGTCTCAAAGGGGCCCCGGGGGCGCTAACTGGCAGCTGGGTTATGGTTGCTGTCACCATCATTGCTAAGGACTCTGCCAGCTATCACTCACACACACAGACATGGATCAGAGGCCTTGGGATAGATCTGAGAGGACGTGAGGATGATGATGTGGCAGGAACAAGAGGCTGAGGGAGGGTGAGAAGTGAGGAGATGGAGTTTCCAACCTGACCTCACGAGAGTCCTGATCCATCCTCAGTGCTCCCATCTAGACCTAACTCAGCCTCTCATTCCTTTGTCACTCCCAGGTCCCAAGGATGCAACATGCCTGTTACTGGGGGATCAGATGCCAGGGAGGAGCATTGGTCTACTTTGCTGTCTTGTGACTTTTTCCTTAGACTTTCCAGAGCTTGGGGGGGGGGCGTTGGCAGGGAGGGAACAAGCCACATCCTCTAGCATCATACCATCAAACAGAGGTCCCGAGTAAGAATCCTCCGTGACCCTCAGGAAGATCTGTCAGGAGGAAAATAAGAGAGAATTTGGTTTAGACATGCCCACTCTCAAAAAAAACAAAAAAACAAAAAACTCTCCTGAGCTCAATTTTGCAAAGCATTGCTTCATACTGGGAAGAAAGTCCATTATGACTCTTTATCTAAGAACATTGTCTTCTATAAATACAAAAGTGTGAGCATACGGTGACCACAATCACGTAAAATATGTTTGCATATGGACAAAGTGGGGAGGAAATAATCCAAAATAAAGACAGTGGTTACACTTGGGTAGGAACTGCGGCTTTTTGCTTCCATAAAATTTTGCTCTAATGTTAGACTTCGGCAAATAACCACCTCTTCTGGCAGCAGGCAGAGCCTGCAGGGATCTCTGCTTTACCTCTTCCAGGGGCGTGTCAGAAATTCCAAAACTGCTGAGCCCCAGGTCAGTCAGCGTCTCCTCCAGCTCTCTGAACAGGCTGGCATATGCCCTCTGCTTGAAATTCTTATTTGGAAGAAGGAAGATGAGCTCTTGACCAATGCATTCCACCAGCTTGGCCTCTGGCACATGGTGGAAAACCACGTCCATCAGCTCGTTCACGTCCCCTAGGTCAAGAACAAAGACCGTTGCCCACTTTGTTTTCCAGAACCCGATGACTGAGGGTGCCTGTGTTTCCTGCCTTCTGCACCTTCCCTTGAGGAAGGGGCAGTTTGCTACTCAGTGGTGATACTTTCAAAGGACTGATGTCCCACCAAGAATGCTTTTAGCTGGGTTGACCTTGCAATGGTCCCTCAGAGGCAGAGGGAGACGGAAGCAGAGGAGTCCCCACTAGCTAGCTGTGCAGCCTTGGAGAGTCAGGCAACATCCTTGTGCCAGCTTCTTCTTCTGTTCAATCAAATGTTCTGTCCCCTTGAGCTATGCTATGTCGGACAGGTCATACCCAAGTTTCCTCATCTGTGAAAAGAACAAACTGTTGTTTTTTGAGGACTGCACGAGTTAGTACACACGCACTAGGAGCAGTGCCTGGCACACAGGGGAGTGTTAGCTCCTGTTGTTACCACGAGCATCATCTCAGGCAAGAAAGCTCTTTGTCATTGTTGGTGCTCACCCTCACTCACTGCAGCTTGAGGGTTAAGTCAATGTTGTTTCCATTTTCCTGGTCTGGCCACAGCTCTGGGGAATTTGCCCAGACACACACCTGAAGCCTGTGACAAGCAAAGAGAGAACTCCCACTTCTGAACCACACACCGGTGCCTGGTCTGACCTCTCAGGAGACTGCACATTTTCCTTGGGACTGCGCCTGCCTCCTCAAAACACAGCATGACTCCTGGCTCACGGGAAGTGCCGTGGGGCTTGAGACTCCTGCAGACAGGCCGGGGTGGGGCATGGCATGCACAGCATGGAACGTGAGCAAGTGTCAGGCAGCAGCTATTTGCCTGATGCGCTTATACAGTTACAACTAAATTTTATGCACAAGCATGTATTACTTTAAAGTCAAAAATCGAACTTGGGCCAGACATGGTGGTGAGCATCCCTGCTACGACTAGGGAACCTGAGGCGCGAGGATTGCTTTATCCCAGGAGTTCGAGGTTACAATGAGCTGTGAACAACACCACTGCACTCCACTGGACAACAGAGCGAGACCCTGCCTATACATGAATAAATCGATAAATAATCTGACATGAAAACTTGAAAGCACGCACCTGAAGAAAGAATTCCCTAGCACGTCCTTGTGAGAGACAGGTCGAAGGGAAAGAAATTCTGGAAACTCAGAACACAGCACTTTGGAAAGCTGAGCGGTTCTCTTAGAGAGAGTCAGGGCCTCCCAGCGGGTTCTTTTCTTTGTTTTAAAAATGACCTGAGTGGAGGAATTTCATGGCTTTCACAAAAATCCCTCTGCTTAGCTGGTTGAAAGGCTCGTTTTATGTCAGATCTGCAGGACCACTTCACCAGAGGCTGGAGAGCACTTGGCGGAGGAAATAGCTCTGCCCTGGTATCTCTCCAGGGGTCATGTTCATTGTTCTCTTAGGAAGGAAGTTGAACCCGAAGCTGCTGGGTTCCCAGGATTTGTGTCTTAGACGTGTGTCAGCCTTTCTAGAAGTAGCCCTGCAAGTCAGCCGGGCTCTCAGTGTCTGGCAGGGAGGGCCACGGTGTGTGGTGTGTGGGTGTGTGAGGGGCTAGCCTCCAGGAGATAACAGGATCAGAATGGTCTTCTGCCCTTACCTGGGGCACAGCTACCTCCTGTACTTCCTACCGTCCACAGCATCCCAACTGTATACAAAGAAAACCTTTACTTAGAAATAAAGTAATATTTTTTAAAACAACCACCCCCAGCCATGCAGGCCTTGTTTCGAACTTGATTTTGGTGAACACAGTGATTAAACATATTAATATTAATTTTTTGTGTTTTTTTAGTTGGAGTCTCACTCCTTCGCCCAGGCTGGAGTGCAAAGGCATGCTCCCGGCCACTGCAGCCTCAACCTGCTGGGCTCAGGTGATCCTTCCGCCTCAGCCTTCTGTGTAGCCGGAACTACAGACACATGCTACCACACCCAGGTATTTTTTATTTTATTGTAGAGACAAGGTCTCACCAAGTTGCCTGGGCTGGTGTCGAACCTGCGAGCTCAGGCAATCCACTCGTCTCGGCCTCCCAAAGTGCTGGGATTACAGGCTGAGCCACTAAGCCTGGCCTAATATTAATTTTTTAGAATGGAAACTTCTTGGCCAAGATTCCTCCCAGGAGAAATCTTGAGGAGCAGGGAGATGCTCACAGTAATGCCGGCGAGGCAAAAGCCAGGAATGTCATCCTAAAAGAAATTTTCTGTCAATGCAGAGAGGGTGGGAACGTGAATGCTAGGGTTGTGACCCTGGGCATTTTCCTTCAGGTTTTAGTCATAGTACATAAATATTGTATAATTTTCTTGTTTTACCAGACTTCAGTTAGCAACTTCTTCTACGTGGAACGAATCTGTGCTTAATGCAGACTTTGTCTTTTTTTTTGGGTAAGCAGATTCCTCCCCCCTCACGAGCCCAGGTCAGCACATGAGTGTAGTTTTCTTCCATGTGGGAAAGTGCTTCTGTAGTGACAACCTTTCTGCTACATCTCCCCGGAGGGGGGGCTCCCCTGAGAGCTTCAATGCCCCCTACTTCAAGGAAGAACCACTGGGAAACCGAGGGCAGAGTCAGGAATGTAACAGGATGTGTGACATCACCAGATTTGCCGTCTTTGCAAGCAGCCTCTGACTCTCCAAGGCCCCTGCAAGGACCCTGCGTCACTATGATTCCACTAGAGGCTGCCATGGCCCATGTTTAAAAGAGGCTCTTGGGGACAGGAATGTTGTCAGAGCTGGGGCAGGAGGACCCCAGGAATGGAGGCGTAATAGGGGTGGAATGGACAGACTGTTTTCTTCATTACAGGGAGAGGGCCCTCAAATGCATGACTTTTAAAATCCCTTTGGGAATGGTGGAGGGAGAAAAAGGAGAAAGAAGCCTAAAGAAAAGACGCACACTCCTACGATCTTGGGCCCAAGTACACAGTGTGCTCTTTGCTCCCATTAAAACACATGACAACAGGACACACCCGGCAATATAGGGAGATGGCCACAGACAAGCGTCTGGGCCTGCCCTGGTCCTTACCGTCCAAGACTTGCTCTGGAGTTAGGTCACTGACACAGGCGGGACAGGAGGCCGAGAAGCCTTTGGACGCACAGTCGCAGGGCCCCTGGACAGACCAGAACAGCTGATGAGGCTCACGTCACCTCCATGGCAGCCCCTTCTGAGGTCCTCTGCCGTCACCACCTGCTTTGTTTCTTACTGCCAAGTGTGGCCAACACATTTTTTCTTCACTCCTTAATCTATGAATTCATTTGAGCATTTTGAGGGTGTAGCCACTTGATTTTATCCTGGGGAGCGTGTGAGTCAGGCACAGAGAGAAGCAGAGCCTTGGATGATCTCTTTGGCTGTCAGAAATGATATGGCAGGCGGCTATAGGTTCTGCCTGCGTGAGGCATTCTGCTTCTGCCTCCCTGCAATGGACACTAGGCTCCGGACATCTATGGAGGGCAGCAGAAGCCAGTGGCAGCTGGAACACTTAAAATATAGGTATCAGTAACGCTACAATATCATCATCGTGGCAATTTGAATGTGAGTGACACCTGTTCTCAAGGAGGCCAGAGTACATTAATAATACTTTATCTCATTCCAGCTACTTGGAAGGCTCAGGCAGAAGGATCTTCTGAGCCCAACATGTTGGGGCTGCAGTTGCTGTGAGCGTGCCACTGCACTCCAGCCTGAGTGACAGTGAGACACCAACTCAAAATAATTAATAATAATAATAATACTTTATCTCATTATCTTCACAGCACTAAGAAGCAGAGAAGTCATGAGTTTCATTTTCCACGTGTATAAAAAACAAAACAATGAGGACTGAAGTCATTTGCCTAGGATGACACAGTCTGTTCCCTTCATAACCCAGACCTAGACCCAGGGCTTCTGACATGCTCAAGTGATTTTTTCTGCTGGTTGGTGGGTTTGTTTGTTTGTGATGTGATGGCTCCAAAGAGGCCTTTTCTTAGCTTTCATTTACCACTGGAATTAGGGAAGAGTGTTGAAATAAAAAATTTTTAAAAAGAAGCTTAAGCAACTCTCCTTAAAACAGTCTAACCTTGGAGGAGAAGATATTTCTGTGTTGTACCAAACCACAAGTAGAGTTCGGGTTACCAGCATGTAACCTGCATGTTGTCACCTCAGGTCTTTTAAAACTAGTTGTTTCACTTAGGCTAACGCATCTCTGAAGGAGGAGGGTTCAGAATGTATTTATCAAAAGCTCCTGCAAATGTCCCAGATGCAAAGAAGCTGATTCTGACAGCCAGTGCTGAGTAGACAGAACCATCTGGAGCAGCAGGATGCTGCTCCCCAGGACGGCTCCTTCCCGGCACACACGTACCTCACAGCTTCTCTTTTGGCTCTGGATGTTTTTCATCTTGCGCACCAAGGTTAAGTAGAAGCCTGTGCCAAAGCAGCTCTTCAGGAAGAGGGGGGTGCCCGAGCAGTAGAGCCTGCCCTGGGAGATGATGGCAATGCGGTCCCCCAGGAGGTCGGCCTCATCCATGTGGTGAGTGGACATGATGATGGTTCTGCCTGCAGGGGGGGAGGTGTTGGGGTCACCAGACAGACAGACTGGGCATGGCTGGCTGAAGGTGTGCAGCAAGCTATGGTTACATGGTTGCAAAAACTGGGAGTCAATAAAAGTAAGAAACAATTCTGCAGCAAGTTCTAGAATATTAGTACAACCTTCTCCAGTGCCCCATGCCCTGCAAAGCACTGTTGCATACCATGTCTCAGTACCAGGCACAGACCCTGAGGTCATCTACGGGACTCGCTGTCATGAGCAGCTTGAGTTCCACGTGTATGTTCTCTGGGTCATTAAGCTCTACATGTATAATCCTTGTAAAGAACACACATGCATATCACCCAGCTCTGTCCCCAACTGTGATACGCACACACGTGCACACACATGCGTGTGCATACTCTGTAACTGGAGATGGCACTAAAACAAAACAGCAGAGAGATTCCAGGAGGTGACCAACAGTGGTAGGCCTGGGCACTCTAGCAGATGGGGAAAGGGAATCTGGTTCTGCCACAGGACTGAGTCACACCGTCATAGCTATGGCCCTCCGAGTTCCACCAGCTGCCTCCTCTGACCAGAGCACTCTGTCTGAAGGTGGTGACAGGCAAGGAAAAGTGGCTTTCTGCGGGGTGCTGGATGCCCATCAGGCTGCCACATCCTGCTCCTGAGTGGTCACCGCACAGCCATGCAGAGTCTCAGGACGTCCTTGGTCATGGGGGAATTTCACCCCGAGCTGCATTCATTATTCCAGACAGAAGGATTGCAGGCTGAGAGAACTTTCTAGAATATTTTGGGAAGTAAGCTGCTTCATCAGTGACTCCCTGTTTATGTCTGTGTAACAACCTCAGGAGGCTTTAACCAGTATGACCAAGTCGCTGATCAAGCCCCATTTGAATGCAGACATGGCGGTTACCAGACTCAGGGGCAAAATGGCAGGTGTGAGAGCCGGGACCAAGGGAAAGCCTCAGGGTGTGCACAGGGCACTGAGCAGCGGACACTACCTGAGCGATACTTCAGGAGCAGGTCCCAGATGGAGCGTCTCGAGTAGGGGTCCACCCCTGAGGTGGGCTCGTCCAGAACCACCACCTTGGCGTCTCCCATGAAGGCAATGGCCACGGACAGCTTCCTCTGCATGCCGCCTGGAGGCACAGGGAGGGTGGGTCATAAGCTTGGAGGGCTGGGAGGAGATGGGCCTGTGCTAGCAGTCTGCAAGGGTTTGCTCTGCTCCCTGGGCATCTACACCGTGTTCAAAGGCACAGGCTTTGTTGATGCTGAGAGGGCAGCCCTCGCCTCCTGGGAGCAGACCATCTGTAGACGACTCTCACATTTCAGTTCAGACATGTAAGCCTTGACCCAGATAAAACCCAGGCTGTTGCGAGACCATATTCCACATGGGTAATGACCCAGAGGGGCTGCACTGAGATTCTCTGCATAGTCAGAGAAGCATTCCAACTCTTAGGAGCTCTCCTGTTTAAGCCTCCTCCCTGCCTCCTGGGCACTGAGAGGCCACGGATTTGCCATCTGCCTCTTTGCAGTACCAAGCACCTGACAGGTCCTGAGCTTCTTCATTCCTCTTGTGGTGGAGGCCCGTGTCCTCTAACATGGACTCCATCTCCAGCTGAGCCTCCTCCCAGGACCTTCCTTTCAGCTGGGCATAGAACAGCATGTGCTCAGCCACTGTGAGGCTAGGGGACGGGAAAAGGAGAAAAGCCGTGGACTCAGAAATCCCACTTCTAGCAATGTATCTTACAAAACAGTTCAAGGAAAGCTTAGCAATAGGAAGCTTACTGCGGTGGTGTTTCTGATACAAAAACAAAACAAACAACAGACCCTGCCAGAACATCTAACAACAGAGGATGGCTTAAATGGTTCAAAAAGTTACAAAATTGTATGCAAAGATTTATTAACCTTCCTGATTTAAATGTGTATATGTATATCTGTCTACACATTAGGAGAAAGTTCTGAAAAACTCTATACTGAATTGCTATCAGTGGTTATCTCCAGCTGGTAAAATTGCAGGTGACTTTATTTTCTTCCTTTTGTCTATCTCTATCCCTTCCTCCTTCCTTCCCTCCCTTTCTCTCCCCTTGCCTTTCTTTTTTCTTTCACAATGACTATATATGGCTTCTCAGATGAGAAATAGAAGATATTTAAATGGGAAAAAGGAAAGCAATTGAAAAGCCTCCCGAAAAGTCCATCTTTAGTGCCATGGTTTAAAAGAGGATAAAGAACAATGGTCCTCCCCTCTTGGCCCCTGCAAGGAAGTCCTTCAGGGCTAAGCAAGGGGCTCAGGGGTGGCTACTCTATCAGAGAGATGGCAATGCCACCCTTCTGCGGGGGAGACCTCGGCTCTGCGCACCAGAGGCAGAGTCCCAAGTGCTGAGGGGCAACTCTCAATGCACGTGGGACTAAGCACATTGAGCATGGGAAAACCAAGCGAGAGTATCCCACCCGTGACTGCACTGGGCTCTGGAGTGCAAGTGAGAGCGGGGATCAGGAGGGCCTTACTCCAGGCTCCACTTACTGGTGGAACAGGATGTTGTGCTGTGGACACATGCCGAGGCTCTGCCGGATCACATCCAGGTTGGTTTCAATGTCCTTTCCTCCGATGAGGACGGTCCCCGAGGTCGGCGGCAGCAGACCTGTCAGGATGGACCTGCCGAACAGGAGACAGGGCAGGGAGGTAGCCTTCAGGAGACTCCTTGAGGTGGGGACAGCCCCTGCCAGGGTTGGATCTGCCCATGGCTGTGAACCAAACTTGAGCCATCCTCAGCTGTGGAGACCAGCGGTTGCCCATTCAGGGCTGACACTGGTGCGTACAGCCAGGCCTTAATGCGGAGGGCCACACCTACCTCCTCTCCTTCTACCCATTTCCCTCCTGGTGCACTCAGGCTGGTGTGGGATGCGCCCTGGGATTCTGAGCCTCAGAAGACCCGTGTGCAGCCAGTCCCCTCCCCTCTCACACCGCAGGGCGTTGTGCTAAAGGGGTTTGTAAAAGGTGGTCCATGTAAAAGGTGGTCAGTGCTTGGCCTGCTGGGTAGGCCGCTCCAGATGTGCCCAGGTGTCACCATGACAGAACCTGGTGAGGTCTCGATGACACCAAGCAGCCCCACCACATCTGAGCATTACTTGTGCGCTTGTGGATTAACGGTCTGAAGCCAAGTGCAGGAACTGCCACCACCATTAACTTCAGGTGGAAAACATAAAAAACCAGCAGCAGTGCTGGGCTGTCTTCATAATTTGGGGATCGTGACTCCCATCTCCTCACGTTGTTGTAAGGATTAGATGAGTCAATACATGTGATGCTCTCAGAACAGCTCCAGCACCAAGTAAAACTCGAAAACATAATTACTGATTACTGTGAATATTAAACCTCGGGCTCCAACCCCCAGGGAAGGTGTCCTCCAGCAACCAACGAAGTAATGCGCTTGCCCGGGGCAGCTGGAGGTCCTGGGCGGGGCTTCCTGCTCTCTGACCAAGTCAGTCAATAGGGAGGACCTGGGGCCACCACACCCAGCTCTGTCCCCGACTCTGATACAATCTCAGGCTCTGAACGTGTAAGTGGAAGCTGAAATCTTTGTTCATCAACCACTAGAGGGAAACAGAACCAAGTGTAATAGCACCAGCCCCGCATTCCAGTCCCACTGAACCGCCCGCGAGAACATTCCAGTGCAGGGTGTACACTCTCTGTTCCTTCCTGGGGCGCTGGAGAAGCCAAAGCGCTTGTGGACGGTGTCACGTGGTTGGCTGTCCCCAGAGGGCTGCAGCTGCGGCTCCCTGGGAAGCCTTGGCGGCCGTGTTCTCCAGCAGAGGGTGCTCGGGTCACTTGGAGAAGCCTGGTGGCCTCCTGAGCGGAGGGGTCCACACGGAGCCTCCACCTTCCCTGACCTTGGCCCCCAGTTGACGGCTGTTACCCCGCAGGCCCCTCTAGAGACCGCAACCTGTTGTCTTTCTCCAGAACTGCTACCAGCCCTCATCAGGGGCCCCATACGGACGCTGAAGCAGGCCCGACAATTGGTAGGAAAAGGAATTCTTCGGGAAACACGGAGTGGTCTACGGACCCGAGCATGTGCTGACTGCCCCTACCACCTCTCAGGACAGTAGTGACAGTGGAGGGACTGAGATGGGGGGAGTGACTCCAGGTGTGAGAAGCACGAGGCACTGTGGTGCCCGGCCTTTGCCCCCATGCTCCCACCTAACCACTAACATGGTGGCATCGGGAAGGTCATTTCAGCCTCTGAAGGCCCGCTTCTCCCACACACAGAGGGGCAGTCAACTTATTCCAGCTCCCTCTTGGGCTTCTTGCGAGGTGCAAAAAGAACAGTATATGTGAGCAGGCTTTGATGCTGCAGTACATGTCACCAAAGCTTGGGGCCACAACTATAGGGTGCATTTTTGTCACTAACATTTGTGGGAAAGAACAGACTGCAGCTAACAGGGGGGAATAAACCAGGAATGACAGGACAGCATAGCAATCCAGCCTCTGCCAGAAGACTCACAAGGTGGTGGTTTTCCCTGCTCCATTGTGCCCGAGGAATGCGGTGATCTGGTTCTCATAAAAGGTGATGTTCAGACAGTCCACGGCCGGCCGGCCATGGGGCTCAAAAAGCTTTACCAGATTCTTCACACATACCCCAGGGACTAACCCTGGGAGCTCACGTTCAAAGAAGGTGTCTTGGAGGAAAAAGATAAATATGAAATCAACACAATGCCTTGATATACGCAGTCCCCAGACTCCTCTCTTCAGACGTTGTCTTCTACCTATCATTTCACCTGCCCTCCCTCCCCCATGGCTTCAGCTATGACCTTTCTAAGGCCGACTACAGAGTCATGATGGAAATAATAGTGCTGAACAGTTATCTAACATTCACTGCAAGCTAGGCACCGTTTCAACTGCTTTTACAGATTACCTCAACGCTGCCTTATAGTGGCCCCACGAGGTAGTTGTTATGCTCATTTCCATGGATGAGCAGCCCGAAGACACGGAAACACCACACTCCCTATCAAGACCCCACAGGCATGAGTGGCAGAGGTGGATGGACCTCAGAGAGCCTCACTGTCCCTCAGAGGAGTGAGCCCTGTTTGGGACAGTCCACCAGGCACTTCTTGGTGGATTTCCGAGCAACTCAGGCTCCTCCTCTTCTTTCTAAAACATCTTCCGGCAGACTCTCCCACGTCCTTTCCTGGGATTGCCATTCTCCTAGTCACTTTGGCTTGATCGTTGAGTCAACTGTAACTAAAGTTGCTTTTTGCGCCTCAAAACTCAGAGCTTCCCAGGGAGCTCGTCCTCATCACTGTCCCTTAGACCCTGCTCCTCTGCCTCCCCCCCCATCAGGCCCTCACTGTGTGGTCTCATGTCTCAACTTCTGGTCTCTCCCTGCTTCAGTTCACCCCATGGGGCACAGCTTACTTTGTCGGCTTACTATTGTAGCTCTAAGCATTTGCTCTCCTGCAGGAAAAAGTCCTATTTTTCCTCCTGTCTGCACCTCCTGGCCTCACCTGAAACAGAACAGTCCCCAGCGCCCTGACTCTTCTTTGTTTGTTTTTTTTCGTTTGCTTTTTGTGGTTTTCTTAGCCCCCTGATTCTAACCTAGACATTCCACTCTAGGAAGAGGCACCGTTGGCTACATTTTAACTCTATGAGGAGCTGTGGGTCTCTGACTTCAGCTTCATGAAATGGCACTGGGGTGGGTAGAAGGCATGGAGTCCAGTGTCAGCGTCAGGTGGAGTCCAGAAGCTATGCTGTCTCTCTAAACCCAGAGCATTTTAGCATCTGCAGGGAAATGCAGACACTTGGGGAATGAAAACCCTTGGGAGAAATGCAGAACTGGTTCAAGAAAGAAGACAGGCATCAGAAGCCAGAGGAATGCTTCTAAACCTAGTGCATCAGCTTTAGGAGTGATGAGGTAACTTCCACTGTCAGGAAAGGCTTCTGATGGCTTGGATGAATGGGCTCTAGCTTTGTGAACCACGGGGGAAGTGCATTCAGCCCCACTAGACTCTTTCCCCTTGGACACAGAAGCATTTATTTTTGTCTTTCCTTATAGCTCATATCCGCTTTCAGTCCCAGTGACCCGAGTTATTGTTCTTGCTAAATCCTCGGAAGTCAGCACATTTGTGCAACTCACTTGGGATTTGTCTAACAAGGGCACAAACACACCGCATGCTTGGGATTTGCTTTCTCCAGGAAATATGCGCTAATGTCTGGGCCGGACCATTCATCCTCACACGTGCAGGTGGGCCATGTAGAAGCCGTCGGGTTTAACCCTTGTGAACAGACAGCGTCAGTTGCGTGGGCTCCATTTCGCTCTGCTGTTCTTTCTTTACTGGGGCTTTACCATTGAGGCCTCCTGGGTGTTCCGGATCCTCCATTTCCTCCGTCAGGGGCTCAGTCTTCTCCAGGGCTCTTTCTTCTCGGGTCGAACACCCTGCACCAACCAGAAGCCAACATTACTCCCAGGGAGAGCTGAGAACCAGGAAGGTGGGGGGGATGGCGCAGTCAAGCATCCTGGCCAACCTCTGACCTGCTGCTGGTGGTGAAGCCCTCAAGCCTGGCTGCACAACCTTTGCCAAACCCAGAGGAGCTTTGTAACAGGGGCCTCAGACTTGGCAGTTTCCCCTCGTCTACTTAACGTGCTCGGAGAGGCACACGATAGCAGAAATTAAGATTAAAAAAAAAAAAAAAGAAAGAAAACCAGGATCAATCTGAAATGAGTTAATTTTCTTTAGCCCATCACTGACATGTTTTACTCGAATCCAAAACATGCCAAGGTCACAGTGAGCCTTGTGTAACACTCCATTCAGGGTGATGTGACGGGCAGTCAGCTTAAATCACAGCTTGGGAATGGCTGACCTAAAAAAATCCACCACTGCGGGCATTCAGACATCTTGGATCAATACCAGGGTCGAGCCTGGTGGAGGACAGGCCTGGACAAAGTTGTGACGTGTGGTAGAGACACACGGACACTTGTTCATCAACTTGGTACTTTAAAAGACACCAGACCATCCTGGAAGGGAGCGCAAGGGCGCCCGGTCTCAAGGTGCGTGTGGCCGTAGGGCAGGGTCTCCTGGTGAGGCGGCTGGCCGATAGTCCATGCGTCCTCTGTGGGATGGGTGCTGGAGTGGCATGTGAGTCCTGCTGGTAAGCGCTGCTCCCCCTCCAGTGCTAAGCTTCTATTTCTGCTTCCTGAAGGATGTTTGCATTGATACCCCACGATGCCTTCGATCACTGTACTGGCTATCAAACTGCACAAATATAGGATGAAGTAGCAAGGGAAAATACCCTTCTAAACAGTTTGGTCCCCGAAGTGAATTCCCCAATCTATGTCGGAGTTCCAGATATTGTCCTAAGTGACCACTAGGAACATGGGAAGACACTGGACGTTTCTTGGGCTCCATTTTTTAAAAAACCTGTGAGAGGAGGGAGGTTATGTGGTGAAACTCAATTCTTTTCTGGTTGTAGAGACTTAGGAATCTATTTCAGTCTAGTCTATGATACAGGTAAAAAATATGTGCCTTCTGTCGGCAAAAATATTTGTGATTCACTTTTGAAGAAGCCAGTTTGTCTTAAGATTTCTTTTTTTCATGAGAGGCAGAGTAACTGTTGGGATCGTAAAGGAACAAAATGCCCACAAGCCCTGACATTTATTGACATTAAAAACATCCTAGGAGGCTGGGCATGGTGACTCACACCTGTAATCCCAACACTTTGGGAGGCTGAGGTAGGAGGAATGTTTGAGCCCCAGAGCCCAAGATCAGCCTGGGCAACATATCCAGACCTAGACACTACCAAAAAAAAAAAAAATTAAATATTAGCCAGGCATGATAACTACTTGGGAGGCTGAGGAGGAAAGATCACTTGAGACCAGGAGTTCAAGGCTACAGCAAGTTATAATCACACCATTGCACCCCGGCCTGTGAGACACTGTCTCAAAACAAAACAAACAACCCTTTATCAACAAGGGTGCCTGAACGATGCATATTTGTATACCTAACCCTTAACTGTACCCCACAATTTTAAAATAAAAAATATGTTTAATAATAAAAAAAAGAAAAGAAAACAAACAAAAAATTCTAGGAAGACACTCCTATGTCAAAATTTTTTATTTTTTATGACAGTATAACCTTATTATAGTAAAAATTTTAAAGATTACAGATAGACAAAATAGATAAGCCAATATAATGAAAAAATACCAAGCTGTCAAAGTGCTGTTTGTTTGATCCATTAAAAACAAAAACAAGCAAACAAACAAACCTGCCCAAACAGGTTTTAAAGGCCCTAGGTTAATCCCCTAGAGAAAACAGACATCTATCATAGTGCCAAAGGATGAATCCTGGCTCAGGCCCAATAGTAAAAAGTAAGAACAGGTAGGTGAGTGATTGGAAAGTATTTCCTGTGCTTCTAGAACGTTCCAGCTCTAGAGGGGCCCCAGCTCATAGCTCCAGAATTTCTCTCTCTGCTTTCTCAGACCTCAGTGAAGAATCAGTGCTTTCCCCCTCTTCTGGGGCTCCTCTAGCTCCGTCTCCTAGATAAAAGGCGCATTTTATCTAGAACATACTGTGGGCCAGTGCCCTTTGGCTTTCTTCCTCAACCACACCAGGAGAACCTGGGCATCTTTGCCTGCACATCAGCAGGTGTGCCTCAGCCTCTGTGGGAGCCTTCATCTTCTAAGACTGGATTAGTGTGTGTTTTGAAGAGGCAGAGAGCAATAAGAAGGCATGAGGGGAGGCAGCAGGAGGCAGATGCAAAGGATCCTCCACGAGTCTCTACTTTAAACTGAAGAGTTGCAGAAGTCACTGGAACCCTGATGGGATGTGGCCCTTTTAATCCACTGGACAAGCTGTGCAGGACACAAGGGTTCACTCCAGCCCAGGGATTCAGGATAGGTGGGCTGTGACGCTGCTGGGGGTGGCAGAGCCCCAGGAGGCAGCTGACCCATCAAAAGTCACACCCTGGACACCCAGGCCACACACACACATCCTGCCCATGACCCAAGGAACTCATTTCAAGTGGTATGCTCTTTTGTGTTTTAATTTTTAAATAACTCACCTTCACCGCCCATCCAATATGACTCTTGTAGAGGGAAGAACCAAGGGAGTGGGGTTCCATAGTCCCCTAAAAATAGGCAAAAAGAGAAAATGCCTCAGTAATCTCCCTATGTTACCTCACCACAGTTCAATAAGATCCAGAATTTCTCTGTCTGAACTTCAAATTATAACTATAGATATATATAGTTCACAAACCAGTGCATGGCTATTCACAGGCTACCACCAAAAGCCCTCTTTTTAAAATGTCTTAATCCAAAAGGTCATGTCTTTCTGGGTGTTACTAGTAACCATAAGACTGATTGAGCTTTGTTGACATTACTTTTCCAAGAAAACATTTCATGAAGAATTAAATCACGTCCTTTTCCAACAGCTACCAGACCATAATGATGATAATCACTGACATTTGTTGGATGCTCTTTCTGTGCAAATTGCTGCAAATGTGTTCCAGGTATTAAACATTATTCTTGTGAATAAGGAAACTGAGACACACTGAATATGGGCCATCTGCCCTTGGTCACAACTAATTAAATAACAATGCAGGAATTCCAACATAGGTAACAGCATTCTGGTATTCCTGTTCTTTTTATTTTTATTTTTTTAACTTTTGAGTTGGAGTCTCACTCTGTCACCCAGGATGGAGTGCAGTGGCATGCTCACAGCCACCCCAGCATCGACCTATTGGGCTCCAGCAATCCTTTTGCCTCAGCCTTCCAAGTAGCCGGAACTATAAGTGTGTGCTACCGTGCCCAGCTAATTTTTGCTTTATTGTACAGAGAAGGTCTTGCCAAGTTGCCAGGGCTGGTCTCCAGCCTGGAGGCTCAAGCAATCCACTCCCCTGGGCCTCCCAAAGTGCTGGGATTACAGGCTGAGACACTGAGCCCGCCAATACTCCAGTTCTTAACCCCCCCATTCTGCCGGATCCACCTGGGTTTCAAGAAAAAGTCCCACATTTCCAGTTCTCTTTGCAAGTTTTGCTCCCTACAAAATGCTGATTTTGTAAAAATACTGTTTTAGATTTTTAAAATAGCTGTCCCATCTCTCGTGGCCTTCGCTGCCACTAGACTGCAAATTCCTGAGGGCAGGCCTGGGTCTTTCTTTTCCATCCTCTATTTCTGGAATCTGGCTGCACTGAGCCTCACTCAGGTGCTACACAGTCAACAGTTGTTGAACAAGTGAAAGTTTTAACTTGACTAAAATAGAACTTCTGAGTTATGCAGGTATTTCAGTTTCAAGCCAACTAATTTTCACTTATTCTATCTTTCTGCAGTGGCCCAGTGAGATAGAAAAAGCAGGCTGAGCAAGTTCAAGCATCTTGCTCTGTCACTGTTATGGATTGAACTGTGTCCTCCAAAGAGATATGCTGGGGTCTCTGTAGAAGAATACAGAAAATACTTGGTCTTTGTCCCCAGCTCCTGTGCTAGATGCAGAGTTCCTAAAGCCCTTGGAATTTCCTGAGTGATATGAGTGCCTTTTGTTATTCATAATAGGCCTGAGTTTATGCTAATACTTAACTTAGGGTAAGCCCTAGTCTAGGTTACACAATGGGGACTGGCCAGGAGAAAAACCAAACATGTGAAGAGAGGAACTTTCAGCCACTACCCTAAGTCTGAGAAAGGGGAGTGGGCTGGAGATGGCTGATAAGAACTCTTGACACAAGATTCCAAGAGCTTCCGGGTTGCTGAGCACGTTGGGGTGCGGGGAGGGTGCTGTGCCCAGAAAGCATGGAAGCTGGTGGAGGGGCCTCTACCCATGCTCCCTTGCATGGGGCTGTTCCTGAGTTGTCTCCTTTCTTGCAAAGCTATGGCTGTAAGTAGAGTACTTTGGCAGAGGTATGGGTAGCCAGGGCACCACGGTGGCTGCGGGCGTCTGAGGTAGGGTAGTCTTGAGGGACTGAGCTGTGGAGTCTGCCCTAATTCTGGATAGTTAGTGTCAGAATTGAATTGAATTGGTGGACACACTGTTGGAGAATTGGTTGGTGTCAGAAGTGGTATCAGGAAAAAAGGTATCAGAGCCCTAATTCCTGGTGCCTTATTGGAAACAGGATCATTGCGGATATGAGAGTTGAGATGAGGTCACACTGGAGTAGGTGGGTCCTAATCCCATGTGATGGGTGTCCTTACAAGAAGATGGCTGTGTACAACAGGCAGACACCCAGGGACAGTGCCATGTGGTAAGGAGGAGTGGAGTTACAGAGCCCCAGGCCACCAAGACCACGAGGAGCTTGAATGCAGCAGGAAGGGACCTCTCCCCTACAGGTTTCTCAAGAGCATGGCCTTGAGAATACCTTGATCTTGGATTTTCAGCCTTCAGAACTGAGGCATAAATTTCTGCTTCTTTAAGCCAAGGAAACGAATGCACTTACATTGCTAGGACCTGACCTGGGTCTCTTGTCTCAGCCTAGTGATCTTTCTCCAGGTTAGGGTTGTGGCCTACTTATTACTGTCAGCAAAGGCTGCCCTGGGCTGATCTGAGAGCTGTGAGTTTGTCTCTCCCCAGGGACCAGCCCAGCCTCACTCCCTGCTGCTGGCTCTGGGACCCAGCATCAAAAGCTAGGCTTGGCTGCCCAGGCACAAGGAGACGACCTGAGTGAAGAGGGAGTGTCTCTAGTTACTGGAAGATGCTGATTTGAAGGAAGATCTGATTTTCTACGAAGTAAACACAAAGTTGTACAAACAGCCAATTTTGATTCAGGAGCTGATTTTCCATGCTACAGATTAATAGATTATTCAGTGTCCACCACATGTCAGGCACTATTCCAGGGACCAGGACTATCATAATGAACAAAGTAGACCACCTGTCTGCCGTCATGGGCTCATATTCTTCTAAGGGTAGAAAGTCAATAAATACGTGTGTAAAGATCTGTCATGTCAGATGCTGATGAGTGTTTCCAAAAACGAAGCCAGGTAAGGGGACAGGCACTCTGAAGGAATGTTGTTTATGTAGAGATTGACATCTAGATACCTTTAGTTGGGAAAGAGCCCTATGGTAAGGTGTCTTTGGAACGGAGACCTGAACAAAATGAGGAAGCAAGCCTGCAGGTGTGAGGGCGAGTGGGGAGATATGTGCTCCTGGCAGTGACAGGTACAAAGTCCCAGAGGAGGAAATGCGCTCAGTGTGTTGAGCAGTCAGGAAGGCTGATGTGACTGGGGCTGAGGAACCAGGGAGAGGGAAGAACACGAGACGAGGAGGCCAGGTGATGAAGCATGGTGGAGGCCGAGCTTGCAGCCTTGGTCTTACTTGAATGAGAGGAATTGCTAGCGGCAGGGTTTGAACAGAGAGGGCCAACGCTGTCTGCCCTGGATTCTGAACGGACTTCTCGGGTACAGTGTGGAGAACAGGCTGGCAGGAGGTGAGGGTGGAAGGAGGGGCTTGGCCTGGGAAGGCAGCGGCGGAGGTGGTGATGAGGGGCAGATTCTGGATCTGTTTCTAAAACAGAGCCCACAGGACTTGCTGGCAGATTGCTGACTTCTAGATTTAGACTTCAAGTGCTGGTTCGGAAGGCTGGAATTCAAAGAGGTTAGATGGGATGGAATGTGAGCTAGGTGATGGGGAGGGCTGAGATCCGGAGAATTCAGATCCCTTTGCCCTCTAGGGGAGATGCTTACCTGGAAGCACCTGGTCGAGGTACCAGGCAAGCAGGCCGTAGAGCGCAGCATCCAGGAGCATCATCTTCATGGACATCAGGAAGCTGAACTCGTCCCCCTCCATGGGGCTGTTCCCAATGTTGTTCCACTGCAGCCCCAGGCCCTGCTCCTCAAAGCGAACCAGGTACTCAGTTCCAAACCCGAAGGCCACGGGAGACAGCAAGCTCTGTGGTGGGTGGACAAGCAGACGTCTCTTACAGATGCCCAAAATGGGGGGGGTCACAAAAGAGGGTCCCTGCTGTGTCCGAGAGTAAGGCCACCTTGAGAGGGGTGAAGGCGGTCTTCCCACAGAAAGAGAATTCAGGGAGTGCCTCTCTGGCTTCAGGGAGACCTGCCCAATACCCATGGGGCCACCTGTCACCTGTTCAATAGAGCACAGTCGAGGTGCAGGGAAGTGGGGAAGACAAGCCCCACTCAGCCTAGCACAGGGCCCTCACTCACTGTCTCCTTCCCAGCATGTCCCCGTCTTCCTCTTTTTTGAAGGTCACACAGCTCTGGGTAGACCCCTGAAGCTAACTGGAGTGCTGTGTGAGAACCCCACTTGAAGGGTCCACAACGTTACTGATTTCCTAGGCAGGGCAGGGGCTGGGCAGGGGTTAGTCAGAAAAGCCTCAGATGACACTGACTACCACCTTTCCCATCTCCAGGCAGGAGACAATCGTTTTCTTGGGTTCTCCGTTTTGAGAACAAGTCAACTGAATAGGTGGAGAGCAGAAGGAAGCTGGAAGAGGAAGCTCCCTCCAGGCCCCCCAGGGAGTCCCTGACACCTCACAGGGATGTAGTTCCCACCTCCTCTGCTCCCAGTTCTCCTGAGTCAGCAGGACCCCGGGTGGAGTTCAGAGTGTCTCCACAAAAGAAAGAGGTTCTCTAGCTGTGTGTTCACAAAGTAACATTTAAGAAATTGTCACCCAGCCCGAGTCCACAGTTGCCAGACCTCTTGCTGCCTGGTGGATCCACACACCAAGAAGCTAGTGGTGGCCTCCGAGAACCAGCTGGCTATGCAGTGGTGACCAGAACAGCCCGGCTCTGCCCACGGGCCACCATACAGATTTCTTGCTACTAGTCCATTGTGATCATTGTAGAAAATTGGGTGCTAGAAATGACAGCAATTCATTTCTTATTTCACATGAAAAATAAAAGGCAGTTGCCCTGGCAGCTCTGGAGTCAAGCAAGGTTGAGTCTGGGGAACAAGTCAGACTTGGAGTTTTCCCCAGCAAGATTCAGGTGCTGGTTCTTTCTTGGGATTTTGGAGAACAAGGAAAACTGAGGTTGATTAGCCTCACGGGAGTGTGGAAATTACCCATGTGAAAACAAGGAAGGAAAAGACAGTGCTGTTTGAGTTTGGGAATCTTGAATTAAGAGGTCTCCAGGCCTGGCTCGGTGGCTCTGCCTGCAATTCCAGCACTTTGGGAGGCTGAGGTGAGTGTATTGCCTGAGCCTGCAGGCTCAAGTCCAGCCCAGGCAACTTGGCAAGACCTCGTCTCTACAATAGATAAAAAATTAGCCGGGCATGGTAGCACACAACTGTAGTTCTGGCTACTTGGAAGACTGAGGTGAACGGATCGCTGGAGCCCAGCAGGTCGACGCTGGGGCAGTTGTGAGTGTGCCACTGCACTCCAGCCTGGGCGACAGAGTGAGACTCTAACTCAAAAAAAAAAAAAAAAGAGGTATCCAGAAATCAGAAGTCCCTTTCTGCCTTTCTGGAGTCCTCTTGCGGCTTGAGCACCTGACCCGGCATGGGCTCATGTCTCTACTCCTTTCTGCATGCACTGGGGAGCATCTGAAAGACACTTGGAGAACTAATCTGATTCAAGACCTTTTGAGTAATCCAAAAACCTTCAATTAATGGAAACATCTTTCTGGACAGACAACAAGGAGGCAAGTTTCCTTCCTTCCCATGAGCCTCCTAGAGAGTAGGGAAGAAGACAGAGTGACCTGGGCCCGTGGCTCTTTTCTCATGGGTAGACAAAGGGACTTGTGAGTTGAGCTGTTGTTTTTTTTTTTTGAGTTGGAGTCTCACTCTGTCGCCCAGACTGGAGTGCAGTGGCCGCTCCCCACTGGGCTCCGGCGATCCTTCCGCCTCAGCCTTCCGAGTAGCCGGAATTACAGGCATGTGCTACCACGCTGATTTTTTAATTTATTGTAGAGATGAGGTCTCGCTGCCCAGGCGGGTCTCGAACCC